CAAGGTCATCTGAAGGTCAAAGTGCTTTTTTTAATGGAAACCCCTATTTTTAACTTCGGAATCGTGTAGAGTGGGAAAAATTACATTCAAAATGACATTCCAAGTTTGTATTTATGAGCTGAGAAGATCATATGAAAGTCAAATGCTCAAAAAACCTCCTTATAACTAGCTTTTTAAATTTTTTAGTAAAATAAATATTGTAAAGATACCTTTTGAAAGTAATTGTTTAAAATGCCATGCTGTCTTGGAAGACATTTTGCAAGGTCATTTGAAAGTCACAGTGCTTGTTGTAACAGAAAATCTTTTTTATCAAGGATCCGAAAATGGAAAAATATACAATTTGAATATGACATCGTCCTGGACCCTATTATCGATATTGAAGGTCATTTGAAAGCCAAATTTTTATCCTACCATTAGCATCACCCAGGAACGTGGACGTAATAGGATTGTGTTCTCTTTGGGGTGCTTGATTAGAGTGAGTCCCCTTGCCTCTCACTTTTCTTCAGAATTCAACGTAGGTTTTCAAAAATACCACCATTTTCTTTAATACATAACGGTATTCGCTGCTGAAATTGTTCTACTGTTCTGAATAATACAGTCCTTGGAATGTTTTCACAAGCGGTTCGAATTGCTTGCATCATGTCTTCTCTTGTTGTTGGTTCGTGTTCATAAACAATATCTTTTAAATATCCCCACAAATAAAAATCAGATGATGTTAAATCTAGAGATCTTCATGGCCATCGAACACCAAAATCTCCACGCGTCCAATCGGATCAAAATCTCGGTGCGTCCAATCCACCTGTCACGATAATATTGATTGAGATATTATCTAATTACTCGAGCGTAGTATGCAGGATCTCCATCTAATTGAATCCACATTCTTAATCTTGTGTTCAAATCTACTTCTTTAATAAGTACTGGATAGTCTCTCATAAACTGTAAAAAATTATGCATATTTGTATTTCCATCGAAAAAGTACGGGCCTATAAGGTATCCATTAACAATTCCACACCATACGTTAAGGCTCCATCGATTTCGATTATCTACACTTATCGCATAAATTAAAGGAACAAAAAAAATTTCTAATTTTTTTGTCAATTTTCAACAGGCTCTATTTCAGTGAGAAATTGTCGTACAGGAAATAAAAAAAATATAGCTTTTGAAGCTTGAAGACTCTAGATTTTGAATTTTTTGGTTACAAATTTTTGGAATACCTGTAGCCATGCAATTCTTGGATAAAGCACAAAAAAAATTTTTCCAAAATTTTCACCTTATTATTTTACTCTATGGGCATGAAAAAATTTTTTCGAGCTAGACCAATGCATAAAACGAAACTCCCTGTCCGTTCGCTGGGCGACTAGTAGTTTCAAAGATATCGGCAGTTGAGTGAAAAAGGATCCTTTTGCATTCAAAATTCGATATTTCGAAGACAAAAGGTTCTATCTGACTCCCTCTAAAAGCAAATTGAAGCTGAATGAACAAGCTATGTGACCTATGCATTGGTCTAGCTCGAAAAAATTTTTTCATGCCCGTACAGTAAAATAATAAGGTAAAAATTTTGGAAATTTTTTCTTTTTGTGCTTTATCCAAGAGTTGCTTGACTACAGGTACTCCGAAAAATTTGTAACCAAAAAATTCAAAATCTAGAGTCTTCAAGCTTCACAAGCTATATTTTTTTATTTCCTATACGACAATTTATCACTGAAATACAGCCTGTTGAAAATTTATGCGAAAAGTGTATCTGCCTTTGCCAATGCGGATTAACATTCGACCAATAATAAGAGTTATGTCGACTAAGCTGGCCATTGCTTTGAAAGTTTGCTTCGTCTGAAAACATTACGTATCGAAAATGTTTGGATCATTGGCAATCATTTGTCGTGCCCATTGGCAAAACTATAGACGTAATCTCATATCAGCAGGTGTGATGCCTTGAGTCAAAGTGATATGATATAGATAATAACGATGATTTCTTAGTATTTTCCAAACAGTAGCCATAGATATATTAGTTTGCCTTTGAATGTTATGGGTACTGATGTTACAATTTAAATGAACCATTGCCAGAACCACTATTACACGAATATCTTCTTCATTGTAATTACGACGTTCTCTAACCCGTACTAGTTGCCCTTGTTGAGCTCTACGGTAAATTTCAAGAATTATTATATGACTCGGATGTCTCTTGTCGGGTATCGATTTCAATAAAGAGCAGCAGATTGTCGGTAATTATACCTATATTCAACAAGAACCAATAGAATATCAACCCTTTCAGACGCTGGGTAATTAGCCATAGTGAAAATTTTGATTATAACAAAGTAAATAAAACGAGATAATTTATCTGTGACTATCAAATTTAAGAAAAAAACAATGTTAAACAAAAGAAATTTAATTAGTTTAACTAATCAATAAGCAGTGCTATATTAAATTTAAACTGTATGTAACAATAAGCAGGGGTCAAAGTAATATGAAAAATTATTTTCAACTGAAAAAATTATCTACTTCAATAATAAATAGGGGACAAATTCATAATGAAGAATCAGAGAATTAATTAATTAAATTAATTAATTGTACAGAGACATCGGTATGACAAAAATACAGTTTGATGAGCATTTGACCTTTAATTGACCTTCTCAGGTCACAAATACAAACTTGAAACTACACGATTCCGGGGTCAAAAATAGGGGATCCCATTAAAAAAAGCACTTTGACCTTCAGATGACCTTGAAGACGTATTAAGGATCAAAGTTGATGGTAGCATTTGGAGGCCCCCTCTGTCCTCTGCAACTTTTGTAGAGGTCATTTTTTGATAACGTTTGTTTTTACTAGGTTATGCGCGTGGTCGGATTGAAATGAAACACCCTGTATATTAGTGAAAATTTTTATCCTAAGCTCTGTAGCCCTTTCGTGAACAAAGATAGCGTAATTTCAAGTACATTTACCATTTTTTTAGATTATTTTAAATTCAAATTTTAACAGGAATCATTAACGTTATTATTTTCAACAGAGATGATTGCGATTTGAAAGGGGAAATCTAATTCCACTTTCATAATTTTTAAAAACTATAAGTGGAAAAAATTTTCAAGGAAAAACTACAGTGCCATAATCAAGGAAAGAAAGGCTTAGTTTGGTAAAAAGTAAGGTTTTCTCAAGATAATTTTCTTTTATATATATATATATATAAGTTTATAGTGGTTGTTCTCTCAATATTCAATATGCGAATTATTTTGTATTCTGTGAAATATAAGTAAGTTTATTTTAATATTTCCATTTCACAAATCAACAAACTAAGCACAGTTATATTAACTTAATTAGGAAGTTAAATTGACTTGCTTTTGCTATATGGTGGGTCTATTATTTGTGCTAATATAGAATTCTATAATTAAAAAATATTAGTATATAGACGATGTCGTAAATACTTTTAACTTTTTTATCTTCTTTTTCATTTTTGATAATATTGATTAATATATTTAACATCAACACTTTTGTGAAAAAAAATTTTTCAATTTTTTTACAATATACATCATAGCGAAAAAATATATAAATATATAATTCATGTTTCCAAATTCATGATTTATCATATCCAAAACTGCAATAAATAATCTTTTAGTTGTCTTGAACTACACGGGTTAAATTATTATTCAATGTGTACGATATCGAGTAGCTTTATGGTTATTATATCGGACAATTTCATAGACTTTAAATTTAAATTAGTTGAACTCACGTTGTTTGCATATAATTATATTATATTTATATTGTATTACCAACATTCATTTATGATTCACTCATTGTATTCAATTTAAGCAATTCTAAGAAAGGCGGTACCTCGCTGAGTCGTTGAGAGGGTGTCGATTTCTCTCTTTGTAATCTATAGTCCACTATATTAGCTTACGCGTTTCTCGTGGTCTCCTCATGGTCAACATGTGTTACCCCGACGGCGCATAAGCGGCGCAACTGAGCCATGACCACGTTATCGTGACTATCGCCTATGTTTTGGTTCGACACTCGTCTCAATTTTCCACTTTCCTTTTTTTTATTGCTTTTAAGAATAAGAGTGACGACTAGGGTAGTAGTCGACAGTCAGTTAGCTGAGAGCCCTCGACGAGTTTGTACGTTCTCAGTTGTACCCTCTGTCTATTCACGAAATAAAATCTGATCATTCTGTCTTAAAAATCATAAATTTTTCCTATCAAATCACCTTTCGTACTGAATTAATTTTCATACGGAAAGCACAGTCATTGTGCTAATTGAAACCCAATGTTTATCCTATTCTTTGAATAAATATAACGTAATTATATTTATTTCAATCTTACACATTAAAAAACCAGATTATTGATTAGTAATAGAAAATAATTAGAACTATTTCAAACCATAACCTCTTGTTTTCTCTGATAGTAGTTTCATAAAATATGTGTTCAAACAATAACACCATAATCTATTTTTTTTTACTTTCAGTTATGTGAAATTGAATTTTAATTACTAAAATCTTAACTCGAAATCATACAAATACTTATTAGCAGTCGCATAACAATATATCACGTTACCATATTTTAGTCAATCAGATCATGAATAAAATACCTTAACATGATTTCTGTTATTAGATTTTATTTTTTATTAGATTATTTATATTGATTAGGATATATTAAATGCTTCAGAAAAATGTTCAAGTAATTCTAAGAATATATTAAGATACTGCAAAGAAATGTATCGCGAGATTTTACAAAAAAAATCCAATGTCGTGAACTCTGCCTTTTATAATTTTATCTCAATTTTAAGTTTGAAAATTCATATTTCATTTTAACAATTAAGTTTATATATTTCAAATTATTCATATGAAAATTTTTCATTTAGTTCTGTTATAAACGCTTTACATTGCATCTTTTTCAAGAATAATAAAAAGATACATCCAAAATATAAAAAGGAGGCTGTATTTTAAATATTATTTCTACAGTTTTGAGAAAAGATACAGGATAGAGTTAATATTAAAAAATTATTAGTTTACTCACCAGTGTTGGTTAAAATGTTTGGATCCCGAACACTGCCAATAAAAGTATTTTGAGCGACATTTTCTTTAATACTAATGCTGTATTTTGGTCTATCACAGCTGGCAATTTTTTGACTAGACGAAGTTACTATAATTCGAATAATTGCATCGTTATTGCTTTTTAAACCCGCGGCATCAGTGGCTACAATGTTGAGTAAATATAATGACGATTTCGTTAATTGATTTTCACGAACTACATAGATCTCGCCAGTATTTCTATCAATGCGAAATAATTCTGCTCCGTTGTCTTCTGATATTCTATAGTTTATTTGACCAAAAATTCCTGCATCAGCGTCACTTGCTACACATTTTACAATTGGTCCACTTATAGGTCCATCAGTTCTAATCGTGATGTTATATTCACGTGGATGAAATATTGGTCTATTATCGTTCACATCAATAACAAACACATGTACTATAGATGTTGCGCTTAGTCCTCCTATAAATAATTTCAAAAAAATAATGTGTTAAAATTTAATACAATAATATAATGTGGAGTAAATTTCAGAACACACGCACGTTCATCAATTGATAAACAACTCACTTCAGATTTTCGATTAATTTAAACAATATTATTATTATAAATGAAGCTTTTCATAATTAACATGTTTTTAATTATTTGTATATTAGTGGTAGGAATCTTCAGACATAATTCGTTTGCATTTGTAAAGACATTTTGATCGGAAATGTTATTTAAAAAAAATGTATAATAAACGGAAATACAAGAAATTAACCTATTCTCTCTATGCAGGGGCTTTATGAAAGGTCGAATTAGTTCAAGAAAAATGAGACGAAAAATGTCTTTTGTATTTTTCGGTGTTGGCAACCGTTCGACAACTGGTTTAATATTAAGTTATATATTTAAAACATGAATTCATCCTTGCTCTCTATACGATGTATTTTAACACTTGGTGTAAAATTTAACAGACTAAGAATATTAAAAATAAAAAATAATGCAAAGTTCATAAGAACATGGTGTATGTTCTTAATTTTCTGAAAATTATACATTTGAAGATCCGGTTTTTTTTTCAAAAGATTTTTCTAAAAAAAGGTATGAAAATATAAATATAATATTATTTTTGTAACGGTTGTTGATTTCTTCAAAAACAAATCGTCGTCCGTTAACAAAATTTATATGTCACCGCTGTTTTTCCCTTCTGGCTAGCTCTGTGCTCGACGCGCAACCTGAAAATGAGCGCGAAAGCGCGAAACAACAAAGAAAAGCGATGGTCGAAGGTTCCTAGAAAACGTTGCGTAGGAGAAGGGAACGTAGAGAATGGTCAGGATTATCGAATAAATATGTCGGCTTGCTAATACATTTCCGCCGGATTTATTCGCTATTTACAATTACAAGGGCGCGGCTACTCATGTTGACCGAGAGATTCACGATGCGCAACCTAACCGTACGTACGCGCGAGAGAGAGACAGAAAATACAAATTTGGCCGGCACGCAGCTGGCGCTGCTTACATGTGCTCGCTTGCCGGAATACGCTCGCAATCCCAAAAACAAGGGAGGGGACTTACGCGAATGAACGCTGCTGCAGACAGCTTCACTTGTTATTTCGAGCCTGGTTACACAGAGGCCGTCGCCCAGGGTCGTCGAGGTTTGGGAGGCTTATGAGTCGATCCTCACGGATTGTGGGCGACGAGCCGGCTCTTACTATTCGGATGGCGGTCTTCAATTCGCTCGTCCTCACACGTGGATCTTTGCTGGATTCCTTCCTCGGTCACTGTGCTCGCACTTCTCGAATTCTCAATCCGCGGGATCGATATATCACTCAATTTTTCCACACCGAAAAACAAAAGGATTCCGAGCGCGTGTTATCCGCTTGCCGATCTCACGTGTACTGTCCTGCCCGCGTGTTCTAGCTATCTCTCTCTCTTTCTCGCTGCGCGGGTCTTTTGCGCATGGCGCGCTATTTCGAAGATCGCTCATTCATTTCTTAACGAGCCCGCTCGTTACATTTTATATATAATATAATATATATTTTATTATATTGTGAGAGTTCAAAAACGTATTTTTTACAATGTCTTACGCTGTTATTCAGTTGCTATCGAAAGTTATTATTATTTCAATTGTAAAAATAATTAACAATAAGTATAAGAAAAGCAACTTTACATTTGAGCTTGTTATAAATGAAAATATCTCAAATATTTCATAACTAAATAATATATTTCATCATAAACGTAGTAATAGTTGAGTGTACCATGAAAGCATAAATATCACCAAATTTTTGAAATCGTCAAATTTAGCTTATAGTACAGCACATACATATGTTACCAAAATTTCTGTAAAAATGTTATAGTAATTTTAATCGTAAAATATTTAAAAAATATTTTATAAAAAGTACGAACAATACGTACAAGAAGCATTTGCATGTATACCAAAAATTTTTCATTTGAGTTTGTCATAAATAAAAGTATGTATTTGAAATATTATCTCATTAATAAGTAAGTGCATCAGGAAGATAAACAGTTCAAAAATTTAATGTATGATGATAAACGTATTTTAATCGTACCAAAAAGAGTATGAAGAACTACTAGCTAAGTAAAATTTGAAATATTATGCAAAAATTATCTCTAATAATTCAAATTTTACCAAAAATAGCTAAAATTATAAAAATCAAGTTTAAATATAAGAAAAAAATATTTAAATGAAGAAGTTATTCTTGGTGATTGGCGAAATAATTCATCGACGATTATTTTTCTTTCTAGAAGACCTTGCTGGTAGTCATCATCAATAAAAGCCTTATTAACTCCATTGAAACATTCAGGTATCCGTGGTACAACAGGCATAGGCAATCTGGAAGAGAAATTGGTTAAAATTGATTATTATTATATAACTGTCATACTGCATGAGAATATTTACCCATAATGTCTGAGGAAATTATAAAATACTGCAGATGTATTAATGATATCTGCAGTAAACTGGGGGGGGGGGTAGTCTAAAGCTCGATCGTCGGTGATACATCTACATATTTCTTTCCAGATACTAAATGTCTGTTCTATACAACATCTTTCACTTCTTAGTGCTCTTGAAAAATCATAATCGAGAGTGCCTTCTTCTGTGTCATTAATAGATGTTAATACGTATAGAGACTGCATGTAACTTGAATCAGCTAAGGATAAAAATATAGAATTGACAAATTTATTTATTTAATATGGTTAAAAATAGTACATTAATAGATTACGTAAAGTATTATGCAAAAATATTATGTTATTTTTATAAGTAAAACCAAATGAAGTAAGAGTAGAAAAGAAGTAAGTAAAGATTTTTAAAAACGAAGTAAGAGTAAAATAGGTTACCTGAGAGAAAGTAGTATGTATATTTCTCAACTTTATGTTACATTTTTCTTCCTTTTTCATATACTTGTTCTCCCGATATATGTCTTGCGCTTTTATTTTCCTTTTCATTTGCCTCCCCCAGCTTCGCATTCTGTTTTGTTTGTGTTGTTCCTTCCTACCCCGTCTCTCTGACATCTTCCTTTCTATTCCTCTCTCCACTCTATTAAAACTTCTATTTTTCCTCACGTAGCTCCTACCTTTTATTACCATTTATCTATATTCAATTTCGATTTCTATCCTTATTCCCAGCTCCTCGGATACATCACTGATTTTGTTCGCTGCGCTGATCATTTCTCCTCTTGCTCTATTTTCTTCATACGTCATCTATTTCTTCTACTCTTCTCAAAGACTAGCACAATAATCCTATTTCTCCATTCTTCTGGGTATCCTTTTCCATCCTATATCTTGTTCAAACAAAGCGTAACATCCCTCTTTCCTTTTACCCTTTTCTTGTTTTTTTACGCCACTTATTTCTCTCTCCTGCCTATTTTTCCCGCTTCCCGTTACGAGCATCTCCAGCGCCACAGCCTTTGCCGTCTCCCGCTCCCCTCCGTCTTTTCTCTTGATCACTTTCTTCTACGTCACAGCCTTTACACTCCCACCACTCTCCTCTCTTTTTCCTTTTCAGTTCCTACCCTTAACTACTTTTCCCTACCTTTTTTCGCCCTTTCTCATCTTTTTTTCTTGCATTCTCATTTTTTGTTTATCTTTTTCTCTTCCCAATACTCCCTCTCTCCCCCTCAACGCAATCTCACTCTCCACTCTCATCTCACGGCGCCCATTTCGCACACACTTTTCTTATCCCGCGCCAGACGCGCGTTCTCTCTCCTCAACTCTCAAGTCAAGAATCTTATCTAAGGAAAGGTAATTTGGTTCATTAATTTGGCCATTTCTTCGTAGAGTTATCATTTTCTGTCTTTGGTCGCTGAATCTCCATACAAAGGCATCATGGGAGATCCACTGCAAACTCTCACGTTTATAATATTATAATTGATATCACGCAACTAGAATGATAGATAAAAATAACATATTTTAATTATAAAAATGATGTAATATTCATAATCTTTATGTTTTTACTGACCACTTGATCATTAAAAGAATGATTTTGTTGCTGATTTACATAGACTTCTTCGTGATCTGCTGGTGTACGTATCTTAATCAAAGTACCATCCAACACACCAATTACGAGGTCTCTCCGGAAAGTATCGGGCCTACGTTTATATCTTCCCACCATAGTGTTCGAGCGACCTCTACAGGACAGAAACTTCAACAGTAAAGCCTCACGAATCTATTGGTTACTTACTAACACCGGCCGGACGTATAGTTCATGCGCAGCGTGTCTTTGTTTACAGTGCCTTTTTCGCGTTCGTCAGATTTTGATATTGTCAAAAATGAATGAAAAACAAGATCAACGAATTTGCATCAAATTTTGCTTTCAACTCGGAAAAACGAGTTCGGAAACTATTGAAATGATGCAAAAGGCCTTCGGAAGCGAGTGTATGAGCAAAACACGAATAAAAGAATGGTCGCACTTCTGTCGATAGTGAATCTCGTTCCGGCCGACCTTCGACGACAAAAACCGCAGATAAAATTGAGCCGGTCCGACTTGCAATCGAACAAGATCGTCGTATGACTGTGCGAGAACTAGAAGAAGACCTTGGGATACCAAAAACTATCATTTCAGAAATTTTAACCGAAAATTTAGGAATGAAACGTGTGTGTGTGAAATTCATTCCAAAATTGCTCACAGCAGAGCAGAAGAACATTCGCTTAGAAATCGCTCTGGACAATCTGGAAATGGTCAATAATGATGATAATGTGCTTAGAAAAGTTATTACAGGTGATGAATCATGGGTTTATGGTTATGATCCTGAAACAAAACAATAATCTTCACAGTGGAAGCATTCTGAACCGCCAAGATAAAAAAAAGCACGTCAATGTCGGAGCAATGTTAAGTCATTGTTGATTGTTTTTTTCGATTGTGAAGGTGTTGTGCATCATGAATATGCATCAACAGGTCAGACAATCAATAAAGAATACTACGTTCAAATTTTAAAACGTTTGCGTGATGCAGTAAGAAGAAAACGCTTGCAC